TTAATAATATTTAAGTACCAATCTTAAATGGATAAGGGTACAGTGTTAAAGATGTTTTCAAATAATGGAACATAACAGATCATGCAATGAAGAGTCATTGATCCAAAAATAGCTATAATTAAATATGGATTTGCAAATATTCCTACTTTCAATAATGATCCATCCTATAAAGAGTATGATAAAATAATAATACTTCAGATAAAGCATTTAAGGCATTAAACATTTCAATAACAACAAGGACAGAAAGACTTAATGTTGAAGCCTTTTATTTACCCCAAGAGAAATACAAACATGGATCTTTAGAGAAGTCGTATTTATCGAAGTTGGCTACTTTGAATCCTTCCCAATGATGGCATTCAGCCCAATTTCTTAATTAATGGAATGTGACAATTGGATGTCCATCACCAGCCCATTCATATCCCAAATAATAATACACAAAAACAAAGACTGTGGCTAAACCAACATATGTTCCAATAACACAATATCTAACAAATACAAATTCAGTGATAATTGGTTCATCATGTTTTCTTGGTGGTTTTTACATAACATCAGGATCAGGTGGATTAAATGATAAGGCTGTAGCAGGAAGACCATCAGTTACTAAATTAACCCATAATAATTAAATTGAATTGAATCCATCAGGAATACCTAAGGCTGATGATGTGAAAATTGAGACAACTTCACCAATATTTGATGAAATCATATATCTAATAAATCCTTTCATATTTTAATAGATTGCTCTTCCTTCTTCAACAGCTCTTACAATAGTTGCAAAGTTATCATCTGCTAAAATCATATCTGATGCTTCTTTTGCTACTTCAGTACCAGAAATACCCATAGCAATACCAATACTAGCTTATTTTAATGCAGGAGCATCATTAACACCATCACCTGTCATAGCAGCTATTTGATTCAATTAACCAGTTAATAATTTAACTAATTCTCTTTTGTGTGATGGATCAGTTCTTGAGAAAACTAATCCACTTGGTTTTCCAATTACTTATTCAAGTACTTTCTTTTATTTTTCTTCTCCCATTGTTGAAAATTCTAATCCTGTAAATGAATGAGTTGGGAATTAAGATTAATTATGTAATATACCAATTTACATAGCAATAGATTATGCTGTTTCTTTGATATCACCAGTAATCATGATAACTGAAATACCAGCTTCTCTACATTTTTCAATGGATCTCTTTACTTCAGGTCTTGGTGGATCTTATAAGGCAACAACACCAATAATAATTGGTTTATTTTCTAAATCTTTATAATTATTTGTATCAATCAATGAATTATGAGCTGGATGTTTAGGTCCATCATAATCACTCAATTAACCACAATCTTCTTATACACAAATTGCTAATGTTCTTAATCCCTTTTCTGCTAAATCTTTAACAATTTTTAATAATTAATTCTTATCTTAAGCCTTCAATGGAACAACATCACCATTTGAATTTAGAATCATATTTGACTTTTCTAATAAATAATCTGGTGCTCCCTTAATGAATAAGACATTTCCTTTTTCATTATTGGAACTGGCTAAAACAGACATACTTTTTCTATCTCTTGTAAATTCTAAAGTAGCTCTCTTTGTAAATTCACCAACAATCTTTTCATTATATTATTCAGGAGCCTCTAAGATTGGTTTTCCATTAAAAGATTTATCATATTTTCCAATTTTTTCAACTAAAACTTTCAATGCAGCTTCAGTAGGTAATCCACTTCTTTAGACTCTTCCTTTATCTGTGAATAATTTAGATTCATTGCATAATGCCATAGATTAACATAATCTATTAAGATTTCCAGCCAAACCATTTCCTTTTACTAATTTAGCATCTAAACCATCAATCTTTCCTTCTGGGTGATAGGATGTTCCTTCTACAGGGAATACAGTAATTGTTGATGCATCCAATCCTGATAAGAGTACCATTTCTTTAACACACATTTCATTGGTTGTTAAAGTACCTGTCTTATCTGAACAAATAATAGTTGTGCATCCCAAAGTTTAAACTTTAGGTAATTTACGAACAATAGCTTTTTATTTTGCCATTCTTCTAGCTCCCAAAGCTAAACATGTTGTGATAACAGCTGGTAATCCTTCAGGAATAGCAGCAACTGCCAAAGCCACAGCTACCTTGAAATAATACAATGCTCCCATAATAGTTCCTCCATAAGCAGGATCAGAGAAATTGCCAATGTTCATTACCCAACAAATAATACAAATATATGTGACATATTTAGCTAATTTATCTCCAAATTCATCTAATCTTTTTGATAAAGGATCATCATCTTCTTATTTCTCTTTTGCTGCATCCTAAACTTCAGACTAAATCTTTCCAATTTATGTTTTCATTCCAGTGTTACAAACAATACCTATAGCTGTACCATTAGATACTAATGTTCCTGAAAATAAGAAATTTATTTTATCTTAGACAGCAGCCTAATCTTTTAATACTGGTTCGGTTGTCTTATTTACAGGATTCACTTCTCCTGTTAGAATTGACTATAATAATATATAATATTAAATACCTAATCTGTTTTCAATGTAATTGTTTTCAAATCCACCATTCTCAAATCTGCTGGAATTCTATCTCCTTATTTAATTTCGACGACATCACCAATAACTAAATCCTTTGCTTCAATTTATCCCCAATTATTATCTCTTAATACTATGGCATGAGGTGATTATAAATCTTTAAGTGCCTATTAATATAAGACGTAATCATACTTCTATTGCTCTCTCTGCATCTAAGTCTTACCAAATACCTACAGCTGCATTTAAGATCAATATTGTAAAGATTACACAAGGCTCCACCCAAGGAGGCACTGCATGAGAATCTTCATGATCTTCAAATTGTGAAATCACAAAAGAAATTACAGCAGCCAACAACAAAATTCTTACTAAGTTATCCTCAAATTGTTCTTTAATCTTTTCCCATATACTCTCCTTCTCTTCCTTTTCAAGTTCATTGTGACCATATTTAGCTAGTCTTTTTTATGCCTCATCTGATGTCAAACCCCTAATAATGTCTAATTTTTATACGTTTATAGATTTGTTTGAACAGCTTTGACTACTTTATCAACAGGATATGTATGAAATGGCTATGTCAAGTCGATCTCTGCCATTAATAAAAAATAAATAATTTATGTAAATCGGCAAAATCTTAATATGCTAAATAATACATTTTTGTTTATAATTAATTTCCTCTTCATAATTATTAATCTTAAATTAACTAAACTTCAAGTACCATTCTAAATTAATTAAATTAATCATTAATTATAATTTATCACTTTTTCAACTTAATATTTAAAAATAATTAACAAAGAAAGCATAAACATATATCTTTTATTCAATTTTCTATTTAATTTTAATGTATCTAATTAAAATGAAATATACTATATGATTCCTTAAAAGAAATATGTATAAAAATTATACAGATTTATTTATTTATTCTAATCTTTAAAAAAATTTTGATTTACAAAAATAATTTTGGAAAGTATATCTATAATTTTTACTTAATAATATTAGTTTTTATGACATAAAAAATAATAAATATTATCAAATGATTTTTAAATAAATAAGAAATATAATTTTTTCTTTATTTCAATAACAATATTTTTTCTCAACCCTGAAAGCAGGATTGTTTTAATCTAAAGCAGAACTATTAACTTTCTTTGGATGCTAATCTTAAGGTGCTTAATTTATATTGCTTTATTTTTCAGGCGACTAAATATCATGAGATTTAGCAGTAAATTTAGAACTGGAAAAATGAGTAGAATCAGATACAATACTAAATCTAGTTGATTCTTAAGTAGTTGAACGACATTTGATTGGAGTTAATTTAATAAAATGAGAATTATTTTTACATTTTAACATCTTGATTACCCAATCTGAATTCAATACTTGCTATATATTAATTCGTTTTTAATGTGCTAACATTTATTAAAATAACAATTAGCATTCTTTAGATAGATTTTTATTAAATTTAATTGGTTATCTATTACAAATTTTTTCGTATAACTCTTCTTTTTATTTGGCTCTAAATAATAATTCACCATGTAACATATACTGTAAAATTATTAATGAATTTGAGGTACATATAATAGAATTCCCAAGGCCCAGATATCTACTCCTTTGTCGTGACTTTCTTTTTTTATTACTTCTGGTGGCATGTATTCAGTTGTACCGCAAATACAAGGTTTAGCTTTACTACCATTTGGTAAAAATGTTGACCAATTAAAATCACAGACTTTAACATTACTATTTTACAATAAAATATTATCCGCTTTTATATCTCTATGAATAATATCTTTTTCATGTAAATAGAGGATAGCTTATGCTATTTAATAAAAATAATGGAATGCTTCTTCTTCAGTTAATTTATTTTTTTTTCTAATCAGATCCTATAAGGTTCCATGTCTGCAATATTCTAATATTATATATATATTATCTCTGTCCTCAAAATGTTCTATGTATTCTACAATATTTTTATGTTTGCATCCTTATAAATAATTCAATTCATTTAAAATGTGTTAAGTTGCAAATATTTGTTTCATATAGCTTTTAGATATCTATATATGTTAAATAAATACTATTTTTATTGCATATGTTTTATTAATAGCATGATTCAATGCCAATTTAACTTTGCCATAAGTTCCACTTCCTAACTCAATCTACAAAATTTCATATTGATCTTTAAGTAATTTCTTTTGTGTTTAAGGTGCAACTGTAGTTGGTTTGGAAGGTTTAGGTGGTAAATTATAGTAATATTAATTCATTTAAAATGAAAATAAAAAAAAATAAATATTAAGTTAATGAATGAAAAATACCAATTCTATTAAATTAATTCATTTTATTTAAACTAAATTATGACTTCCATATAACTTTAAAACTTTTGAAGATTTGTTAATATACCAATTTGATTCAAAAAATTAAGGTATTCTAAATTTAAGTAGTAGATTATAAAGATATTTATAAGTATCTGGATTATTAAATTTAATTTATGAAAATAATTATCAAAACCTTAAATGGATCGAATTTGGAAATTGAAGTACAAACAACAGAAACAGTAAATATGATTTAAATATTAGGTTCTAAACATTAAACAAAAAATTGAATAGCTTAAGTAATTTGAAATAGATTAATAAAAAATATTAAGAAAAGGTACTATTTTGCAAAATGAATAAACTGTTGGTGAATTGGGACTTAAAGAAAAAGACCTACTCGTTGTAATGGTCAACGTTAAAGTAACTAATTTAACTACATTAATTTAGAAAGAACCTCCTAAACAATAATCAGTTTAATAATAATTTCAATAGTAATCTTAGTAAACACAATCTATTTAAGAATAAAAACCTATATAAGTGCCAAAACCAATTATTAACTCAGAATATTTATAGAGAAATTCATAATATCATATATTTCTTGAAAGTTTGGTTTAAAAAGGATTTTCTAAATCTCAATGTACAAGGAAGGAAAATAAAGCTGGATTTAGTTAAATCTATTATGATTAGTTTTATTATTCGAAATATAAAGATGTTCCTTTTATTCAATATTTGACAGAATTATATATTAAAGATCCAGAAGCAATCCTATAGATTCTAAATGAATTCAAAAAATAAAATCCCTAATTATTGCAAGTAAATAATTTATTTAATTTTAACTGAGTCCTGATGATTTAATTGAGATACTTTAATAAGTTGCTAAGGAACAAAAAGAAGAAATTGAGACAGAAATTACTTAGGAGTAAAATTCAGAGTATACTAAAGAGGAAAAATAACAACTTAATTCATTAATCATGATGGGATTCTCCAAAAAAGATGCACTAGAAGGATATTTGGCTTGTGATAAAAATATTATGATTGCAACTTCATATTTATGTGAAAAAGTAGCAAAGGGGGAATTATAAAGTATAAAATAACATTTAATAAAGATCACTTAATGAAGATAGATTTAAATAATTTTTAAAATAATTATGAAAACTGTAATGATGATGATAATGATGATAAATATTTTTGAATTCATATTATTAAATCATTTTAACCACCATATTTCTTTGGAATAACTGATATATCAATATCTCTTGATAAAACTTCTAATATTTCTTTGGGATCTTTTCCAGCAAAGGCCATTTTCTCTAAAGTTCTCTTTGGTAAAAATTTCTTAACTATGTTATATATTGATTTTGCAAGCCAATCAGTGTTTATTACAATATTTCTTATTTATCGTTCTGGATACTTCATAAAAACGTATGTCATTAGAGCTTTTATCAGATCTATACTAACATTTTTTCTACTCAAGTTAAAGCAATCAATTATTAAGATTTAACAATCAATATGTCCTCTCATACTGTTATACATTATTACACATTATTTATTACTTACTAATATTATGTTCCATTAAACAGCAGAAATATTCAATAAAAATTTCAATCGTTGGATTAGGTTCCTTATATTCATCAGGAAATAGATTTTCAGCTCTTATATAAAATATTGGATATCCCATCTATTTAATATAAATTAAATTATTACTTTGCCTTCTCCTAACATAATCAATATATTTTATTTTCTAAAATAGTCATATTTATCTTTTCTATAGTCATAAGAATTTATATTGTTTTATTTTCTCCATTCTAAAATATCAGTAAGCATTTTTTCAGATGCATTTAAATCAAATTATCTAGCTTAAAGATGTCGAATCAATGCATTATCATTCAATGCCAAATTTTTCATTTTAACTCTAAATTAATTCAAGATTTCTTTTTCTTTATCCTATATTTTTGTATAAATTATAAAATACATTTAATTAAGTAAATCTTAAATATTTTTCTTCATTTTATAATGCAGGATGATTTCTATTAGGGTTAACATCCTAAAATCCCAAACGATCATTAGGTAGAAAATATATTTCTAAACCATTAATTTTATTTTATTATAATGTATTATTTTATGTCTATTACACGATTTCAGATTTCTCTTGAATTTTATCAATTATCTAATTAATATAATTATATATACATGATCAAATTCATAATTTATTATTTAGTGATTAATTATATATTCTTTTGCAAATTTGTGCATTAATTTATCATTAGACTTTTTAAGAATAATAATAATTTAACATTATGTCTAATTTACATGTTTATCATTTTCAATTAATTAGAAATTTATCTAATTTATTTATTGATTATATTACTGTTAATAATTGAGAATTTAATATATTCCTTTAAATAATAAAATAAGTTGACTTTATTTATTATTTTCTTTAATAAGTTAAATGAATATGAGTTTAATGTTTATGCTTCTTTTATTTACCACAACTTATAGAATATTATTGTTAAAATTGATTTGAATTTATAGTTTAATGATTCTTTAAGCCTGGTTAAAAATAAATTAAATTGTTTTCATTCATAAATATTTTCTTAATCATTTTTATAGATTTTCCTATAGTCCATTCACCTTTCAGATAATTAAATTTACTATCATTTGAATAATACATTTGAAGTTTATCATATATCTTGTGTAATTTCCAATTTTAATTTTATTATAAAATTTCAATTTCATCATTAGCATCATCCTCAATTGTTGTATGTAATGTATGATGGCTAATCAAAGCTGGTTAAACTTCTAATAAATTCTTTTTTAAGAATAATGATTACTATTGATAATTTAAGTTGAGCAACCCATTCTTCTGCATCTTTCAATGAAATAGCTCTGTATATAGTTGAATATTCCTTATGAATCAATGTGAAATAAAATAAATCATCAACCTTTTCTGGTCCTACAACTTTTGCTTATTCCAAATTAATAACTTCAATTGGAGAATGTGACTCAAACTTGAATTAATATTTACCTAATCATTTTCAAATTTAAAGAAATGCTTATGATCCAAATAATAATAATTAGAAATCCAAAACAATGATTTGGTCTAAAGATAACCATGTTTATAAGAATATTGATTCATTAATTTTATTTATTACAATTTCTTTTGTAAAACAGAGTATTATAATTGTAACTTAAATAAAGAATAATCCTTAATTCTTAAAAATAATAATCCAGATAATATGATAAATATAGTGTGAAATATCTTATAAAGAAAATTAATTGGAGTAAAATGATTCACAAACTATAATGTTTGTGATTCTAAACCTATAAATTGTTGTTTTCAATTAAATCTCAATTCTAAATGTATTATATTGTGTAATATTATATATAGTAAAGTCATAATAATATTAAATAGAAGAATTTTGTTAATATGATGGTAATATCAATTAAAACAATTAGAATTGAAATGTTTTCAATTTTAATATATGAATATACAAAATGTAACAGATATCATTTCAAAATGATGTCAACATTATCATGAGCACCTTTTAACAGCATTTAACCTTAAAAATCAAGGACATTTTACTTTTTGGCTGCTCTCAATGTACCAACAAGTGCCATAGAATATTGATATAGAATACTTCATAATATTGTTAGGTTTTCTCATCATTGAATAAGACTCCAAATTTAACAACATATTTCCCTTCTGCATTCTTTGTACCTAAGCGTTAAATATCCTTTTTTAATTCTTCAATTTCTTCTTAAATTTTATGTTACATCAAATAATATTTAATTATATATCTCATTTCAAAAAAGACTGGAAATAGAACATATAAAATAAATATTAATAAAGATATATTTTAACATAATTATTGTCTTACTATAAGAGATGTAGAAAATCTAAAATAAAATGGTGAATAATAATTCTCAATTTGAAGATTTACTTACTAATGTTGGAGTATAAATCTTCCAATAAAATGTTATTGCCAAAAGAGCACCTATCCATGGTCCCATAACAAACATTAATAAATTTATCATCTAATTCCATCTTCCATAATATATTCCATAAAATAATTAAAGTCTATTATTATTAAAAGTCTTACCCAAATGCAGCTGCTGGATTAAATAAACTATTACCCATAGTTGCAGTATACCTATAATAATAATTATAATTTACTATCTTGCTACAAAATAAATAATGCTAATAAATGCTGCTGATTAAACTTATGTTGTAGTAATTTTTGTGTTTTCTGCTTGTTGAATTTACACAAATGTAAAGAAAATAACTGAACCAGCAATCTCAGACATTAAAGTTCCTAAAACTTAATGAGTTGGTAGTCTAAAATGATTATATTGATTTACGATTCATAATAAGGTAAATTTGAACTATTTGCAAATAAAGGCATTATAAGCATTCCAGCAATTAAACTTGCTAATATTTATGAGCCAACAAAGGTAAGTGTCTTTTTTTAATTTATACCTCCATCTATAAATCCAATTAATGTGCAAATTGGATTGAAATAACCTCCACTTAAACGACCAAACAATATTAGACTTATAAAATAGACGAGAGATAAACCAAAATTATTTCTAAATACATATTAATCATTTAATTTACTCAGCAGCTAATGCTCCATAAATAACTAACAAAGTGCCGATTGTTTCAAATACAACAATATTAGAGATTTAAGCAGCCTCTTTTTCTTTTGAATCTTCTGGATTCACTTAGAATTAATTTACTGTAGGTTCCATATATTTATTATATAATTAATTCAATATAATCAATTTAATTTATTTCTAGTTAGAGTTTGCATCATTTATTTTTATGACTAAGACATCATTCCTTTTGTTAACTACGATATTAATTGCTTATTATATGTGCATAATATACTTGCTATTCTTAATTTATTCTTTTATTTTCAATACATTCAGCTAACATCACTTTTATGCATCTCCAAATTTATTTAAGATTAGGCAATTAATCTGCAGAAAAATAATCAGGAGGTGAACATGAAACTACTAAATCTTTTAAACACGAAATAAATTTATTTTGTTCCTTTAGTTTCTATTTCTATTCATTTATTTAGATCAAACAAAGTGAATGTAATTTTGGTTCAAATATATTTTCTTTATTAATTAATCCTATTTCATTAAAGACTTATGACACAAATGTATATAGTCGTTATATATTAGTATAATTTCCTATCATTTTTTCAAGTACTTCTACTTAATGTTGTAATTTTTGTATTTATTCTTCATATTTCTTAATCAATTCATTTTAATCATTATTTAGAGATACTTCATGAACTGAAGAGTAATTCATATTCTAAAATTGTAGCATATCTATATCCTCTGATTTAGAACTCTTATGTTATCGAAATGGATGAAGACGAGGTGATTATAATGTTTTAAAAGAGTCATAGTTATCATATGTTTTACATCTCATTTTGAATTATTGAATTTAAAACTATTTGTTATTATTATTATATTAAAAATTTAAATTATCATTAAAAACCACAATAAAAGAATATATTTATTTATATATAAATCTAATGTTATCTAATATTTATATCAACTTATTTTACATCTTTATTTGTATTTATTTAATTTTTAATTAAATTATAATGTCACGGCTAATTGTGAAGAATATCCCAAATTTAATTACAGAAGCTTAATTAAAGACAATATTTGAAAAAAAAGGTGAAGTCTCTGATGTTAAAGTTATATTTAAAGGCACTAAGAATAGAAGGTTCTGTTTCATAGGCTATAAGAACGAATCAGATGCAATCAAAGCAAAAGAGCATTTTGATAAAACATTCATAATGATGTCAAAAATATCAGTTGATTTTGCTAAAACAGTAGATGATCCTGCCTTACCTAGAGCTTGGTCAAGACATACTCAAGGATCATCAGCATATCAAAAAATTCATAAAAGTTAAGAACCACCAGTCACAAAAAAAGTTAAAAAAAATAAAGAAGAAGAGTAAGATTAAGAAGAACCTAAAAATGATTAAAAATCAAAAAAATTTTAAGAGTTCTTAGAATTAATGAAAACTAATAAAAAAACTAATTAAGAAATATCTTGGAATGATAATGTGAATAATTAAGTAGATGAAATATTTGATAAGATAGAAAAAGAGAAGCCAAAAGTAGTTTAATAACCTAAACCAAATACATTAGCTAATGTAAATGAAAGAAGATTATATGTTACTAATATACCATATACAAGTACAGAATAAGAATTAAGAACTGTATTTGAAAAGTATGGTACTGTTTCTAGTTTAAAGATACCAAAATAAAGAGGAGGATCACTTTCTGGTTTTTGTTTTGTGGAATATCAATTACCAGAAGAAGCTGTCAGGGCATTTAGTGAATTAGATAATAAGATAGTTTTGGGAAGAATATTTCATGTTAGACCTGCATTTAAAGATGATAAAGAAGAACAATTAAAATAAGAATAATAATTGAAATAAGAGAAAATGATTGGAGAAGAAAAATCATCATATAAAAAATTTAAGAAATAATAAATGCTTGAGAGACTTAATGATACTACATCATGGAATACATTATTTTTAAATCCCAATACAATAATTGAAGGAATTTGTAAGAAATATTCTTTGGATAAGAAAGAAATCTTATCAGAAGAAAATGATGATATGGCAGTTAAGATGGCTTAAATGGAAACATAAGTTATCAAAGAAACTAAAGATTGGCTTAAAAGTGTTGGTTTAAATATTGATTTTTTAAAAGTTGAAAAGAATTAATGTGAAAGATCAAATATTACTATATTTGTTAAAAATATTTAATTTAGAGTTAATGAAACAGATTTAAATGAACTTTTTTCAAGATATGGTTAAGTGAATAAAGTTTTTCTTGCACCAAATAGATCAATAGGTATTGTTACTATGTAGGATGATAAGTAAGCAACAAATGCTTTTACTAATTTATAAAATTATAAATTTAAAGGATCAATTTTATATTTAGAATGGGCTCCAACTACCTTAATGGGAGAAATGAATAAAAATATTGAAGTAAATCCATAAATTGAAGAATAAGAAAATGAATTAACTAGAATTCTTTATGTTAAGAATATTAATTTTAGTACAACTGAAAAAACTTTACTTAAATTTATGTCATCAAAAGTTAATGACATTAAGAAAGTGACAATTATTAATAAAGAAGGAGTTTCTTAGGGTTATGGATTTATTGAATTTGATAAACCAGAATCTGCTCAAAAAGCATTACGTCTAAATAATTTAATTTTAGATGATCATTTATTATAATTAAGTTAAAGTAAACCTAAACCAAAATAAGGTATAAATTAATAATAATATATTTTATAGAATTAAATAAAAGAAAATAAAAATAAGAAATTGAACCTACAAATAAATTATTAATCAAAAATTTACCTTTTGAAGCTAATGCCTAAGAATTAAGAAGACTAATTAAATAATATGGAGAACTTAAAAAATTAAGATTACCTAAAAAATTAGATGGAAGTATAAGAGGTTTTGCATTTGCTGAATTTCTTAATAACGAAGAAGCTTAAAATGCAGCTGAGTCCTTATAAAATACTCATTTTTATGGAAGAAGATTAGTTATTGAATATTCAAAAGAAGAGTGACATTATTTTTTTGTATATTATATGTATATTAAAAATATAATAATAAGATGATCAATTATATATTAAATATTCATAAATTTAAACGTTTTGCCTTACTTTTTTAAGTTTCTATTTAAATCCATCCTTTTTTTGAAATTTGTAGACCAAAGTTATATTCTTGTTATTTAGTATGCATGTAATTTTTATAATAAAGTTTATAAAAATTTTGAGTCTCTGTTTTATTGGGTAGTATATAAAAACCTTCTGTTTATTAATGATATAATGTTGCATTTATTAAAGGTATGGTATCTGATATTTATTATTTTGAATTATTCAAATAAAATTCAAATATAGTACCTTTTAATGGCTCGTGTTGCTCTTTACTTATCTTTTATTATTTCTCTTCTAAATCTTAATCAACTTCGAAATACTCAAACTTAATATAAGCATAATCAGCTATTTGAATATTGTTATTTAATGGTTAATTATTAGTATATTAAGTGACACCTGAAAAATTAGTCAAATTCTCATTTTTAGTATTTGTATCCAACACTATTAGAGTTTGTTATGGAAAAAACTTTAATTTCATACCTTTACATAAATATATTCTATTTTATTGATTATTTGTTGTGATAATATAAGGATAGATTTCTGAAGAAATTTCAGTTGTTTAATTTTCTCTAGAATAGCTTACTACAAAGACTTAAGTATTCTTTTTCTTTTCATTAAATTTATCCAAATATCTTATTTAATCTTAATCTAATATTTATTTAGTTTTTTCTTTTATCTTGCTCATCAATTATCTTCTTAAGACAACTGATTCATATACATCTGAATATGGAGCCTATAATAATATTGAATTCAATTCAGATTTTATTGGAAGAAACTTTGGATGATTTACTGTAATAATTATTTAAATTTCGATGAAATCTTAATCTATTACCTATTTTTTTTGAGTATATGAACTTGCAGTGATATGAGAAGAATCTTCAAAAAAATTAATAGTTTATTAATATAATTCTTTTACTTCTCTATAAATTTCTTGTTGTTTCATTTTTATTTCATCACTTTATTTAAAAAAGCCTAGAAATCCTTTATTTTTGTTAACGAATTCATTAACTTATATCAAATTAGTATAGAACAATTATAATCTTTCTTCTAATTGTTATTGTTTAAGTAAGAATTAGTTTTCTTAGAATTTTTATTTGTAACCAAAAATTTTAACAATCATATCATTTAATTCTTATATTTTTAAATGACTCATCTTTGTATTTTAAAGTTTTACAATAATATCCTCTTACAAAATAACTGTTTTGATTTTACTCATATTTTTGTTATTGATAGAATTTAATAAAAATAATAATTATTATTATTATTTTTATTATCTTGTTTGATGACTTCTTATTACACTTTGTAATTATAATATTCATAATCTTAACAGGTCATAATATATTAAAAATATAATTATTTTTATATTCTAAATAATAAAATCCTTGTCAATTAATGAATCCCAAGACAAATACCCAGAACATCATTAATGTAGATGAATAAGCATTGAATTGGCATACAGGACTATCATCGGTACAATTAATTTAAGCTAATTGATAAGAACAGGCTGCTAAAGTCCAACTAGGACTTATTCCATTAATATCTTCAGGAGCTTATATTATTGAAGCACTCGGGATATTATATCCAGTATAGATCAACTAATAGACATATGTTCCCATGAAATATAAATTACTTAAATAAAGATTATCTGGATATGTTTTTACAGCTTAATCCCAATCTAGATTAGTGAAACTCTATAATTTATTAAAATAGCTCTCTTTATTAAAAGTAGTTAGATTAAAGAATTTAGCCATTGTAACAATACCATTAGTCCCATAAACTGTTTAAATAGTCACAGGAGGTTCATAACTTTAATTAATGCTAGTACTATCAGTAGTATTTAATAATTATGATATAAGATTTTAGCAAAGTTATAGATTTCCTACACCTTAAATTTTGTATGTTTTTCCATCAATAATTGTATCACCACTATATCCGCTTTAAAAACAAGGAGAATAGATATTATTATCATCTTGCTGAATAGATTACTTTAAAATGCTCAATCTAGCCTAATCATTCCCATAACCCAAATATGAGACAGAATATAATGAAAAATTGCTCACATTTGGACGAACATTCAAAAGAACAAAATCTGGACCAGTACTATTATATGGGAATGCATTTTGAGTTGATGCACCACCTAAATCAAGAGTCAATAATTAATTAACTTATTAATTAAGTAAATAGAAAACTGACATCCACATATACATACCCTAAAATCATTGATATAAATATTACTTCTTCTTATCCAGTAAGAACTCTAACCCATTCAGGTTGATAATAGAATTTTGTTTTGCTGAAAATTTCTTATACAGTTGCTATAATTTCATTTTATTGAATTTGATTTAACTATCTTAATCCAGCAGTGGCACCAAGCATTATAGGAGTGTATTTATACATATTTTCAGGAACAACACTATAAGTGAAATTAATAAGAGGTTCTAAATAAGCTTAAATTCCCTCTAAATTGTTAGCAAATGAAGCAAGACCAGGTGCTTATTTTTTGTCATTTGACTTTTTATAATTGAATAAATAATATACTGCTTCAGTTAGATTGATCATAGGTAATGTCCATTCTTCTCTACAACTCCATTAATAGACATATACTCTTGTTCCAGAAGATCCTGCATCAAATATGGAGCCATAACATTATGGAGTATTTTGTAGATCCTCCACTGAAGTCAAAAATCTCTTTGAATAAACAATACAAATCAGACTTGCCACTAATAACATGGAATCAAATAATGATTTTATATATTAAACAATAACTTAATTATGAAATGATAATATTATGATCATGAACTTCTAGATTGTTCATCTTTATTGCAAATAAGATATATCATAGTCAAAATCCAAATGAATATTATGAAGTAGGTTACAATCAAATAACTTAAAATAAACATTCTTAAATGTATGCATTCTTCATGTTGTAAATAGGCATACTATTAATTAAATCAATTAGAAATACTGTTAAACCAATTAAAATTATAATGTTAAAGAATAACTCTATATAATCGACTACATCAAATAATTTTTCTTTCCAAAATCCATTAGTTTTATATTGAATTGGTAATTCAATTATTCTTTATAAAAAATAAAGTTCTTACAATTTATATCCAGCCATCATAAACAAAAATATTTCAGCATATAGTGACCAAGCATTGATGCTATCACAAGACTAATCATCTCTTATTTAAATAAATCAAAATTTACTATAATGACGAAAGAGCAAAAAGAGTAAGCCCCAACCAAAATTGTATATTATAGCAAAGATGGTTGATGAAAGAGCTCTACCTGTTAGTTCAGAATTTCTCTTAGAAGTAGGAATATCAAATATTTCAGCATCTTCTTGATGTTAATTCATAAATAAAACGAATATATATTATTTATAATTCAATCAAATAAGGAATCTACAGTTTCAATCATCCAAATGGTATTTTGTTCTTTTCCACCAACCAATACAACTTCACCTTAAAAAGTGGTTTTGCTAGAAGGTCTACTCAAAGCAGCCAAATATTAAGAGGTTTTGATATGTTTAAGTCTAAAAGGATATTCAAGAATTAAAGAATTCAATTCAGGTATACCCATATCAACTCCTAAAGATAATAGTTTAAATACCTTCAATTTAGAATTCAGCTTCATCTTAGATTCCACAATTAACTTCAAGATAATCTTTCTTTTTATTTCTAGCACCATTAATATGCATCAATTTCTTTCCTGTTCCATTATGTTATAAAAACAAAAGAGATTTATTTGGAATTTAGCTAGTGATATCAGAATTTCCATTTGCCAATTCAATTATCCACCAATCATTTTGATCTCTTCTTATTGAATATCTCCAAGTTATTTCTTATTATTTATTTCCATGAGTATATGTACTAGTATGAGAATGTAATGATCCTCCAGTGAAACAATTTCTAATTACAACTTTATCTAAATTGTGAATATATTTATAACATCTTGGTCTGATTGCTTTTTCAACATCTTATTGTTCATTAATGAATATAGATTATCGAACAGTCCTAGATGCCTATAATTATTTGATTTAAATATTTACAGGAATGATTGTCCAATAGTCATTTTAGTCTACTCCTGTAAAGCCTGTAACTTCATTAACATCTTTAGGATTCTTGTATTATCTATTATGAGAATGTAAAGCATGATTCTCATCAAGTACATTAACAAACTTAGCTCTATTTAGATTTATTTCATCAAATTTATCAAATATCAACAGGAATTATTATTCACCTGTACCCTCATATTAATTGGCTACAATCATTTCTCCTTATTTAGTTACTGGTGATTTGTTTCCTATATTACTAATTATTAATATATTAGATACCAAGTGATTACATTTCCAGTTTTCCCATTTCTAATAACTATCATATCACAAGGCCATATTTCAACTCTATTATAATTAGGTTTTCTAAGTCCTTGAACAGGAGGACTATATTTTTCTAAAATCCATACAGAATTTTGATCCTGCTCCTTTTTAGTACCTAATATGTAGCTAATAATTTCATATTAAATTATACCCATTTTAATAAGAAATTCCTGTATCTGTTAGATAACCATTGGTTTCATTATGTTTTAAGTAAACAATATCTTTATGAATTAGAGTTTCTTATTCCATTAAATAATTATATTATTATCAAGCATATATCGAATCAACATATTCAATAAACCAGACTGCATTCCAATCATATTTTTGAGTCAATACAATTTCACCTTAGAATGTACTTTGGCTGGATGGTCTCTCTAAAGCTGCTAAAAATTGTTATGTAGGAATATGGACTATTCTAAATGGCTTTTCTGTAGTTAAATTATTAGATGTCTCATTAATATCAATCACTACTTATATTCAATACTTACATTCAATTTTAAATTCTTCATTTGATGTTTTACTACAACAAACTTAAAGATAATCACCATTTTTCACTTTACAACCTTAAGAATGAGTCAATAATTGTTTTGTCTAAACATGTAAGAATGAGACTATTGAATTATTTTCTATAAACTATATCTATTCATCGGAATCTTGTTTATGGCTTTTTTATTTATAAATGACCCACCAATCATTCAAATCTCTTGGTTAGATTTTCCAAGTTACTTCTTATTATTTGGTTCCATATTTGTAATGAGCAGAATGAGAATGTAGAGCACCTCCTGTGAATCCATTCCTAATAATCACAGTATCTGAAGAACGAATATTTTAACATTTTCTTGGTAAAGGTTCCTAAATTAATTATTAATGTATTCCTTCTCTCATATCATTTGAAATCATTTCAATATTCCAAGCATCATTTTAATCTCTACTCTTAAATCCAGTCACTTCATTATGATTATTAATTTCTTTAAGCTTAGATGAATGAGTATGCAATGCCCATCCGGTTTCAGTATTGACTATCCTCATATATGGTGATTCATCAGATATATTCTATAGTATAAAAACTTATTCTCCACCTTTATATTTAGCATCATTCTATTTGGCTAATACTATCAAACCTTATTTTGTGATAGGTGATTATGCATCAGGTATACTAAGATCATTTTTATATCATTACCTTGTTATATAATAATTTGAACAAAAACTCTTAATTCTTATTAAATCTCCTTAAATGATTGGAGTATTGAAATAGTTTGGTGACTTAAACATTGAAAATGGTGGACAATATTTTTCTAAAATAAATATAGTATTAGGTGTTAAATTTGGTTAAGCACTTAAAATAAGTCTTCAATCTAATTCCAAATAAAATACCCCCATTTATTTTCTGTATTTGTATCTGTTAAATATACTTTTTATTATGGATGGAATAAATGCACAAGTTCTTAATGTAAAAATGGTCTTTGTGGCTTTTCTGCTTAATTATTCACTTCTTGCTACATTTATTATTATTAATTATATTATTATTAATACAACAAAAAAATACAGTAATATATAGAATACTAATATTCTATAGAAATTATAGTATTTTTTTAAATGAATTTCATAATAATAAGATCTTTTATTCTTGAAGTTTATTATCAATATATATTATGATTATTCAAACTTCATCTAGTGCTACTAGTCATTTATCTCACTAATGTGGATGCTTCATAATGATTTGGATCCATTTATATCACTTTTTCAAAGTCTTTCAAAGCCATTTATGGATTTTATAGATATAATAGACATTTTCCTCTTTTAAATAGAATGTCAACTGAATTTGCTAATTTTATAGCTTTATCAAATGATTCAAAAGCTAATTAATATTATTTTTTATTGAAGAATTCAACACCAAATGAATGATGAATTATTGCTAGTCTTTATGCTACAGTATCATTTTTCTCTATTTCATAAGCTTTATTGTAATCACAAATACTTTCTTTGAGTTTCCCCAAATACTTAAATGCATCACCTCTGTTAACCAATATTCCCCAATCAAGTGGTTTAAATGTTAATCTAAATTATTACTATATCTTAAATACGCTTCATTTAATAATGTTAATGCATCTTCATAATTACCCTTTTCAAACATAACCTAAGCCATTTCATTATAAGTAATAGCCAATTATTTTTTGATATCTTCATTTGTTGGTTATTAATCATATGCTTTTTTTAATAAATTTAAAGACACATCATATTTAATGTTAATTCTACAAAGATAAGCATTTAGTAATAGTAAATCAACATTATTTGGATCTAATTCAAGTCCCTTGTCTACATTCAATTTACATCTCTCATTATCTCTTTGTACCAAATATAACTTGGCATCATTAGTCAATTTTTATATCTTTGGAGTTATATATAGGATAAATTCTTTAATCTCTTACAATTCAGGATTCATTGCTTTTGTATTTAAAATCAAATATTACAATAAACTTTCCAATAATCAGAATTTCCTTATGCTATTTTTCCTTAAGCCCAATATAATTTACCTCTTAATAATAAGGCATTTATATTGAGTGGATCATTGGCAATTACCTTTTATACTTCTTGAAGAGTATAATTTAGATAATTAGTTAGTAGATATGCATAGGCTTTTTGAAGAGAAGGAACAGTAAAATCTATTAGATATCCAAATTATTCAAATTCAGTTCCTTCTAAAAAATTAGTTACATCTCCTTATTCTAATAAGGATTATCCTTTTAATAATATTAAAGCTTATAATTCATCTTCAACTAAAATATCTTATTTGACAGAGTATGAATATTACAAGCAAGCAATGGCTGGACTATAATCACCAATTTTAACATATAATTATGCTAAGTCTTAATAACTTTATAAATGATCTAACTATTAAATATTAGTATATACTTTTGTTTAGAAATAATATTTTATAGTATTCTTTAATTGCTTCATGTACATCTGTTTTCACTAATTGTTTAGCATTTTGTAAATGTTTATCTATCTAATTAATATTTATTTATATATTACTTTTTCCTATAAAATTTTTTTCATTTATTTTAATAATTATTTAACTCCATATGGACACACATAAATATGTTAAAGCAGGTTAATAATTTAAATATATTTTAGGTGAGGTTTTTGTTAAGCATCATAAATTCGGTGTAGAGAAAATCAGATTGATATATATTTTAGATGACATTCTCTATTGGACCAAACCTGAAGACTTTAATAAACAGAAGCCAAAAGGAAAGATCAAATTAGAAGTTTGAGTTAGTAATTTAATTTAAGGATATATTGTAAATAGAAAATGGATTGAAAAAAGCAAAGAAATTAAAAGATTTAGAGAGAGCATCTAATTGTTTTTCAATTATAACTAAAGAACGAACACTTGAACTTGAAGCATCCAATATTTAAATAAAGAATTTATGGACTAATATCATAAATAATATTTTAAAATAATATTCGACTCCTCAATAGTGAAAAACAAATTTATTACATTTATTTTATTTATTTTTAATATCTCTAGGAAGTATTTGAAATGTAAACTTAAATCAAGATCATTTAAAACAGATTTATCATTCATATTGATATTTTATGATTTGGAAGTTACATAAATGATTTTTTGAATTTAATGGATATTCTTATATGATATATGATTTTTTCTTACTTTTATATAAGTTTATAATTTTTTAGCATATTTTAAATTGAATTATTAATATATATATATATATTAGATGTAATAAACTATTTCTAATAAGATCTAAGGTAGACAATCAAGAAGAGATTTAGGAATAAATAAATAAATTGATATTGTACTTAAAAGTCCATTACTTAAGAATTCTATAAAATTGAATTTAGAAAATATTCAAAGGTCAACTTCTGAATAGTTTGTTACACCATTGATTAATAAACAATAAAATAATTTAACCTAAAATCTTTCTCATTTGAGTAAAGATGGATTATCCTTTGGGTTAACTGAAAGAGAAATGAATTTATGCGCTAATGAGATGTAAATAATGCAATCTCATTCTAAAAACTTATTGGGTGCTACTTTATCAGTTCGAACATCTTAATCAAACTAACTTTAATCTCTTAAATTAATTGAATTAAGTAATATAGAATATGATAGTCCAAAAATGAGGAAAGATTTTAAATTCAAAGATAAAGAGAATTAAACAAATTAAGAAATTCAATAGAAAGTTGAAGAAATGAAAATTAATTATATTAAATCAAGTGTTACTTTAAATTAATAACTTAATGATAATACAAGATTATTGTAAAAAATTGATGAATTAAAAAAATACTAATAAAATTTGTCTTTTAATTATTAATTTTTAAATAAAGAATAGATTAATAGAAGGAATAAAAAAATTGTTATGAATTTAAAATTAAATAATAATAAATAATTAATAAGTTTAAAATAATAGAATCTTATAGATTTAATAGCAAAATAATAACTTATTATATAAAATTTAGAAAAAAAACTCGAAATTGAAAAAACTGAAAAAGAATGTTTAAAAATGTTTTGCCAATCACCTAAATCATAACAATAATAATAAATAGATTTAAAATAATTAGATATTAAGAAAAGCCAGACTAAATTTCATTTTAATACTTGAATTATCTTCGTTTGATTTCAATTAATTTTATATATATATATTTTGAGAATATTAGTATAATAAAATCAAATTAAGAAGTAGAGATTTTTATTTAATTAGAGAATAAAAATGATAAATTCAATAAATAAAATATATTTATGAAATTTCATTTAATTTCACCAACAACTACATCTTTTACTCCAATATGGACATCATAATAATAAAAGCGTCCATAGATTAAATTAAGTGAATTAGCAAAGTTTACATAATTGTAATTACCTAAATAAGAAGATAGTCAAAAAGCTATTGAATATAAATAAAGATAATAACAATTGTTAAGATAATCAAAAAATAAGCCTTTGTTAAAAGTGTTAACTAAATCTTAATTACTTTAAGGTTACTTATCTATGAGACCATAATAATAATAAAAGAAATAAATTAAATCTAGATCATCATCTTTAATTAGTAAATTAAATTCTTCAAGTCCTGTTGTTTCAATTAATGAATCTCCAAAAATTGTTAAAGGGGAATGCTAAATTATGAATTAACCAATGTAATAAATTCAACTTATTGAAGAACAACAATTAAGTCCAAAAGTTTTAAAACCTTTAAAATAAGAAACATTTGCTAAAGCTTTAGATTTAATTAGACCAGAAACACCTCTAAACTTTCGATGCTTAGTTCAAGATATATCATACAAAAAACATAAAATAAATATTAAAGCAATAATAAGAGATATAATAAACAAATTATCAATATTAAGAAAATTAGATATCAAATATATAGATAAAAGAATATGGTCAAATTAACCATTTTAAAAAAGAAATTAATACAGTTTTATAAAAGCTTGTAAAGCAGGTGATTTAAATTAAGTAAAGGAATTATTAGAATAAGATAGATTTTTAAATTTTGGTTTTGATTATGTAAATAATAATAAAATACTTTTAGATTCATTAAACAGGATTACATTGGGCAGTAAAAAGATCTCATTTATAATTGGTTAAATATCTGTTAAAAATAGGATGTGATGTTGATGCATAAGATCTAATAGGTAGACCAGCTTTGTATTTTGCAATTGAATAAAAAGATGCAAATATCGTTAAAGTATATTTATTAAAAGATTTTAATTAGTTATTATTAGAGAACAATGCAATTCCATGGAGTAATTAAAAAATTACTTACTCTAAACTTTGTAATGATGATCTCTAAATAATGTTACTTTTAAATAAAGCTCGAAAGGTGCATGTTATTTATAGAATGGTGGATGCTAAAAAAAGAATTTAAATAAAATAAAGGGCATTGACTGGATTATTCGATGTTTGACTATAAATTTATAAATTAAATATGTATAATTAATTTATTGATGAGGAAGGTCAAGAGAGACAAATATAGTATTTAGTGGAATTAGGTATTTAGTAATTTAAGAAAAGGATTTCCTGAAAATAAAGCTAGAAAGGGAGTAGAATAATTTGGGTATACAATTAGCTTAGAAGACTTAATTAACAGAATTTTAGACATGAGTGATGACAATTCAAAAAAATCAAATGGAAATAAAATTAGTTTAATTCATTTTTCTGATTCAAGTAGTGAAAAAAACTCACCTTTCAATTAACCTTTATAATAATCATAATCTTAAAAACATTGCTAAGCAAAATAAAATTAATAACCTTAAAAGTAGGCAAGTTTGCAATTTTAACAGCAATAAAAAGTAGTATAATAGTAATACTAGCCACAATAATAGTTATAATAATAGAATCAATATTAGCAGTAGGTATAACAATAATAATAACTATGTTCATTCTAAAATATATTATAGTATTAATAACCATGGGAGAATGATGAATTTCCAAAATGTTAAGTTTGTTTTACTTAACCAATATAATGGCTTCATTTTGAATGTAAACATCAATTCTGTTAACCATGTGTAATAAAGAACATAAAAGCTTCAAGAATAAGAAGAATTGAATAAGTTACTTGTTTACAAGAAGATTGTCATTCAAAATTAGTTAAAGAAGAAATCCATTTAGTAAGTAATGAGTTACTACCATAAATTGATGTATTTCCAATATAAAATTAGATCGAACCATATAATGAACCAATATGCACAAAATGTAAATTACCATAAGTTGCTCATAAATTTAAATTGTTTTCAAATGCTTGTGATAGTGCAGAATTTACAATTTTAAGTGCATGTATTAAACATGATGAAGAAGGTAATTAACTTTAAAGATGTCCTTAATGTGGTATATGGGTCTAAAAATCTAAAGGGTGTAATTCAGTTTTATGTTCGTACATTTTTCATTTTATAAAAAGATTAGCTATTGTAAATTTAATTGGTGTTGGTTATGTAGAAGATAATGTGATAGCAATCATTATGTATTTTTTAATCCAGTTGGTTGTCCAGGTTTAGGTGCTGAAGAATTTACTATTGAATAATATCCTTGTCATAAAATATGTTGGATTAGAGTAAAAGTGATTCTAATCTATCTACTATTGATTTTGCTTTGCATAATAGTTTATCCTTTTTTTGTTGCATAAGTAGTTATAAGAAGAATGAAAATTATTACTTAAGGAAATATTTGTTATCGCTTTATGATATATATTGGCATAGCAATTTTATTTTTAGTGCTCTCATGTTTGGCAATCTTTCCAGGAATTATCATTTTCATATTTTCATAAAAGGCCAGAATATATGTATTTGCTAGTTGACTTATAATTTTTATTTTTTTATAATTTAATTAACGAATAAAAATGGGTACATAACAATCTACAGGATATGATTTATCATAATATTAATATATAGATGAAGTTATTGATCCAATATATGGAGAAGGTAAGTTATTTTAAAAGCATGAGACAGGAGAGATAATATGTCTTATTGAAAAAATGATTTAAGAGGAAACAAAAAATTAAGAAATGTCAATTAAGTTAGATCATCCAAATCTATTAAAAATTTATCATTAAGAAATAAGTTTAATGAAAGAATTATGTTCATCTATTACTAAATTAACTATTGTATATGAATTTACAAGTCTAAATTTAATTACCAATATTAATCATAGAAGAACTAAAAATATTCCATTTACATAAAAACAATTATGGGGTCTTTTACTTTAATCATTGAATGTCTTAAATTATCTTAAATAATTTGATATATATCCTATGGATTTAAAATAAATGATGATTTCTAGTTAAGGTTCTATTAAATTTCATTCAATATAATCTAAATAATTGAGTAATTACAAAAAATTATTCTATAATTTAACAGATCATATTCACATTTCTCCTGAAGAATTAATATGTTTAAAAAGAAGAGACACTATTCTGAATTTGGATTATGAAAAATGTGAATTATTCTAATTAGGTTTAACATGTTTATATGCTGCTTCTTTAGTAGAAACAAATGATATTTTTGATCTAAAAACATTTTCATATTCATAGAATACAATTTAATAAAGAATTTAATAACTTCAATACTCAACAGATTTCAAATAAACACTTAATAAAATGTTAAATCATGATCCCTTAAATAGAGGTACATTCTATACTTGGTTAAATTAATTATCATAAATAGATGTTGAAAATAATTTGTTATTATTATAAATTAAGGATCAATAAAATAATCCAAAAATAAATAATTTAAAATCAGTTAATTAATTTTCAGATTATCAAATAGAATATATGCCTTAAAATTATCCTTAAAGAATTCCTGATGCTATTTAATCTTAATACTTAATTTCATTATAATCAAATTTACCAGCATCAAATCCTCCTTAAGGAATTTTACAACAAAAACCTTTTCATATAGCAACTCCTGATTAATCTAGAATTTCTAAAGATATTAAGAGATCACAATTATCTTTACAACATCAAAATGATAATAATAAAAGTGAATAATAATTTTTTTAAGAATCAGGACCAACTGTTTAAACTTAAAATGATGAAAACTTTGATAATGATTAATTAAAATAATAGCCATTTGATCTTAATCATAATCCAAATTATTTTTCTAATTTATAAGCCAAAAATAATGTTGTTAAAAATTCATAATATCCAATTTAAATGCCAACCTTTTCTTCTAATATTTAAACTCAATAACCATATAAAGCATATAATGTATTACAATAGAATAATTAATATACTTAATAAATATAAGTTCAAAAATAATCACAAATATCATAATAAAGTAACAAAAGTTAAAGAGAAGAGAGAATAGAATAGGCAGTAAAATCATCCAAAATGGCAATACAACAATTCGAATATGCTCTTTAATCAGCATCAAAAGGTTAGCGTCCTAGTAATATTTGATAAGATTAAGTTTATTTATTTTATCACTTATATTTTTATTAATAAAAATTGATGTAGTTAGAACACAATGATGTTGACATTCCTTAAGATTATGTTAAACTAAAATAATAAAACTTAAAATTAAGAAATGAATTGAAGTCAATTAATGAATTTTTATCTAAATAAATCGAAAAAAAATAGGATCAACAAAATAGTCATAGAAATTAATTAAACAATAATACTGAATTTAGAGAAGGTTTATTTTATATCTAATTTAGAAACTCTTAAAGCTGAATTATTTAATGCTTAAAAATAACTAAAGATTCAATTGAAATAAATTTAAATTCTATAAAATAGGCAGGAATTGCTTTCATTAGATAAGTATGAAAAACCATTTATTATAGTGTTGTACAATTATAATCATAAATTAAGAAATTAATGGATAAAATTAAAGAACTTGAATAAGAAAATAAAACCTTAATTAACATTAATGTAAAACAGGAACAAAAGTTACTTTAATTATCTTAAGATAATTTTATAAAAAATAGAATAGATTAATTAGAATAAGAAAATTTTCTTCTTAAATAGAAAGTAATAGCTAAAAATAAAACTGAAAGATCTTAATCTGTTTAAATAGCTAAAGTTGAACCTATCTTAAAACCTATTTAATTAAGTCAAAAGCAATAAGAAATAATGAAAGAAAAAGATCTATTTATTGTATTATATAAATTCTATTATTTATAGTCTTAATTATAGAATAAATTATAGGAATAAGAAAAACATATAAATATTTTGAAAAATCTAAAATCTCAATATGATAAACAAATTAGCCATATGACTCATAGAATTAAGTAACTTTAAACCCAATTATTGATATTAAACTAACAATTATAAGATAAAGTAATTATTTATTTATTTATTTCTTAGAATTTAGAATTAAACAGAAAAAATCATTTATTACCTAATTTAAGTGCCAGAAATCAGAGATATCAATTATAAAAAATAAATTTGAGTGTTGATAATTGTTAAATAGACCAACCTAAATCACCAATTTAAATTAATTAATAACAATATTCAAAATTAATTCATGAATTTTAGTCTAAAAGTTTACAAACTTAAGATTTATCTTTATAAACTTTAAAAAATTAAAATTTATTAAATAATGAATTAAATCAAGATATAAAAATAATCAGAATTGAATAAATAGGTTAAAAAAATGATTAAGAATTTCATTTTGATACACCATAATATTTTAGATTACATAATCTAAAATTATGGTGGAAGAATGATTACTTATAAGGTTTATAAGCTTATTATCATAATGCTAATTAAATTGTAAATGGTTAAATATTCTGTTTGAGTAATTTAGAAGAATTAAATTAATAATCTTTTGAATTACATTAGTCAGACTGGATCAATTAAATTGGATTAGGTTTTGAAATTGATAAAATAAGTATGTTTTTATATTTCATCTTTAAATAGAATTTGTTAAAATAATTTCAAATCAAAATTGTGTTTTGAAATTTGGAAGTGAAATTGATAAAATATAAGAAATTTGTTCATAAAAAAATGAATTTATTGGAACAATTGAAGTCTCATTTAATTAATGTATATCTACATAACTATATTCTAGTTTTTATAACAAGCATAGGATTTAAAATATTTGATGAAAAATTATTTGATAAAATATGATTTAATTTATTCTCTATTACTTTTTTTCAATTAACTTCTTAAATAATTTTTCATCTTTATATATTAGATATAAAAAATTAAATATTTAAAAAAAAAAAAAAAAGTGAATGTCTAATTTTTATATTTTGATGATCTTTATTGATAAATCATTTAAGATTTTCTCCAATAAATCCATTGGCTGTATTAAAAAGGTTAATGGGATTTTTGCCATCAGTAACCAAGAATCCTTTAAGTCCTAAACCTCCTAATAATTTAGCTTTAGTTTCTGGTCCAGCTTTAGCCATAGCTATGATAGTTTCTTTTCCAATAGCTAAAATTTATTGTTTGAATTTCTTTATTTCAATATCTGATAATTCTTTTGCTTTTTTGATTTCTAATTCAATAAGTTACTAATTATATAATATAAATGTATACTCTTTGATAATTTAATTCTGCCTCTTGTTCTTATCTTTGTTATTCTAATAAAGCTTCTTATTCAATCTATTAGGCCTTAGATCTCAATTCAGCTTGATTAACTTCTGCTTCAGCTTTGATCTTCTTTTCCATAGTTTCAGCTATGGCTCTGGCAACAGCCTCTCCTTCTGCTCTAACCTTAGCACTTTAAGCTTGTTGTTTTAATAATTCTATTTTAGTTTCTTCTGCTTTAGCTTAATCAAGGAGCTTTTATCTAGCTAATTATCCTTTAGCTTCTTATTCTAATTTTGATGCTTAATGTCTAGATTACATTTCTTGACTTTTTGAACTGATTTCAATAGCCAAATTGATACTCTGACTTAATTATTTTCTTGTTGCCTCATCTGTTATTTCTTAACCTTAAATATCAACAGATGTAATGACTAGATTGTTAGCTTCAAAAATGAATGATGATCTGATTTCATTTCCATCTTTTCCAAAAACAGCTTCTCTAATTTTCATACTGGAATTGTTATGGAAATCTTCAAATGTTATGGATGAAACAGCTCCTCTGACTCTAGAAGCAATAGATTTGCAGGCATCACCAACAAAATCTTTTACTGCAAATAATTTTTATGCATCACTAGGATCATCCTTATTAACTTTAAAGTGCCAATTATAACTTAGTGTTAATTTTAATTTAGCATGATCACTTGTTTCAACAATTAATTAATCAGTCATAAAATCTGGACCTAAACTTAAAGTTAAAGTTTGAATAAGGTTTTCAACTTTAGGTTTACCACCTGATAATTTAATAACTGTGAATTATTCATCAGGTCCAAGCATTACAAGATCTGGTCCAAAAACAACTCTTGATTTTTTAAGTTTGTAATCATATAATTAAATAGCTGAATTATGAGGTGCTTTGAATGAAATAATTTTAGTTTTGTCTCTTGGTTTGAATTATTCTGACTCATAATTATAAGTCATTTTTCCAGATGCTGACACTGATGGTGGTACATATGGTTAACCACTTGCAGCTCTTTAAACAAGAATTTCAACATTCTCTGGTAAATGCTTTTCCCATAAAGATTCATGGGCTTCCAAAAGATAAGTTTTACCTTTGATTCTATAAATAACTTAATGATTATTACTCTTTAACTTCACCAGTACGATTGTCTCTGACATAAATACCTTCATTAGCATCCAATGGAATGGCTCTTCTTTTTTCTATTACTAAAACCTTTACTCCTGGAATATATTCTCTTGGTCCTCTTACTATCCATCTCTATCCAGCCTTTCTGAATTGTCCATCCTCTTCTGAATGATCATAGATGGCCTAAACCAAAAGAGCTTCTTCTTCACCTAAAATTTCAATCTAATTTTAGTTAAATTCATTACATCTTCAATCTTGCCTCCTAATAATTCTTCTCCTGGTTATAAAAAGAAAGTAGTTTCTCCTTTGATTAACACTTAAATTCCCCAATCATTCTGTTGAAGTTTAGGATTATAAGGGTTAAGAATAATACAATAATTCCTTGAACCAAGTGTTATAGCTTATTCAACAGCTACTAATTATTCATAAACATCGGTAATATGAACTTAAGATTATTTATTAGTGACAATCCATTCATTTCCTGGTTTTCTTTTGATGCCATAAACATCAGTGAATTCATTAAGTGCTCTAAGATGAACACACACTTTATCTGTAAGAACTACTCCTTTAACAACTTCAGAAACTCTCTCAAATGTATCAGGTAAATAAGATCCTGTAGTTCTAATAAGCCATTCTTAACTAAATAAATAATAAAAATATTATTTACCCTGCTCTTCTTTCTTTTCCACTTTTATCAATAAATGTTTAAGTTGCTTTTAATTTCAAAGCTTAATTTGGTTTAATAACTTCAGCCTTAACTACTTCAACAATTTATTCCTCAGCTCTAGGATAATAAGTGAATGGACCATTGCGTTACCTAAGTTATATTTAAATGAAAATAATACCATTCTTCACCAGCTTATTTTTTTTTTCCTTCAACCTCAAAATCTCTAAGTGCAACTAATCTCAATGCTGTATTCTGTTAGACAATAAGTAACGTCTCTACTTTGCCATCTAACTTTTCACCTAAATTGTTGTTATGTTTATAATTTACCAGGAAACAAGGGAAAAGGATCTGGATAATCATCAGCTGTTCTATATTCTATTTCTCCTCTTTAAATTTCCACTTCCCCATAAGCATTTTTAACAGGTTAATTTTTTTCATTTCTTTATATAGGATTCTGAATTTTGCAATATGTCTTAGGTGGTAAACTAATCATTTTGTTTGGACCTTCAATTATGCTTTCATGCTCTTTTCTGATGAATGTAAGAGGACCAACTTCTAATCTAAAATTCCATCGATATATCATTACCTTGCTGTGTTAGTATTTTAATCTAAAACATGAATGTATTAATTTGGAGGAATTCTTGTTACGTACTCTGCCATTTTAAATTGATATTTTAATTAATGAATTAAATATCTTTCTTAATCCGGATTTGAGATATTGATATAAAAGATAGAAAATATTTATCATATTTGGATACATTTTATAAATATATGTTGTAATATACTAAATAACTCTAAATTAATATTAATATTTATATAAAATAAGTTATATTATCAATTCAAGAATATTTAAAGAAAATCTTAAATGAATTATGGGGATAAACAAAATTTGAATGCTTTAATATACTTTTATTTCATATTTGTACTTTATTATGTCTAAATAAAAACTTTGATCACTTATATTGAAATAATTTATAACTTCACTTTAAATTATTAATAATGAAAAAGGTTGATTATGATCTTTTAGTGATTGATAATATCAATATCACTAAATATCGCAAAATAATTAGATGCAATTTTGATTCAACGGTACATCATTTAAAATAAAAGCTATTCCCAACTTATAATAGTAGCTTTGCAATTATATTTAATGATGAAATTTTGACAGAAGGAATGCTTCTTAAAGACATATTATCTAAACATCTGTAGAATTGTGTTATTATTAATCCAATAAACGAGCCTATGCCTGATTAGATTAAGAAACCTTCATTATAACTCAAATAATTGATAGAAGACAAGGAGCAAGATGAGTTATTAGAGCCATAATTAGATTAACCTTAACTTAAGAAAATTCTAGATAATCCAAATCAATTTTCAATAGAATAGGATTAAATAACACCTAAATGTTGTCAATCTTGTTAAGTTAAAAAATAAATCCTATGCAATTATGAAATATCAATGGAAAGTCTTTTAAATGAAAATGTCGAATTAAAAAATTAGATTTCAGAGTTAGAAAAATAAAATAGAATTAGTATTTATAAGCAAAAGCTATAATAATAATAATAAAAATAAAATAAAAAATGAATATGAATAAACTTTATAATCATAATAAATAATAATCAATAGTGTTAATAAATCAATTATTTTTACATTACAATTTTATAGAAAGCAATTCTTACTAAAAAGAAATAATAAATAAGAGTAGAAATGCTTACGAAATCGAATATTATATTAAATAATATAATTTTCAAATAAACAACTCTCTTAATTTAGTTATTGAGGTAACAACTTTATCTCTAATAGTTTTTAATGTTAAATGAAATCCAACTTTAATTCCTAAATCTACATCAATATATCCTTTTATAATTAAACTAGATTTATTTTTCTAACTTATTTTTAATCCTCCTAAAGTTAAATGACCTTCTTAAAATTCCTTTTTATATTCTTCACTAATTATAAAATTTAATTAATTACAATTTATCTTCAAATCTAATTGATTAAAATGCAATATAATATACTTCATCTATTTTTTTAATAGTTTTTAAATAAGTAAAATATTATTATTTAATCATTCCTTATCTATTTAATATAATTTCACCAATTTATTCTTCTTCATTTAATTTTTACAAATTATAAGTATTGATTAAATCAAAATCAAATAACTTTTTATCATTTGACCAATTTAAAAATGTTGTAATATCAGTATTAAGATCAAAAGAAAATCTAAGATATATGTATGAATACTTAATTATTAAAAACATTTTTTTATTTCTCATTTGATGTGAAGCATATAGATCAAGTTCTTATCCATTAACAAGATACTCACCAGATTCATTATTTTCAATTTCAATCTTTTCCATAAATTATTTCATAGCTTCTTAAGCATAATAATTAAATTCTTATTGATTGATATTATTTATGCTTGATAATGTTATTAATTCTCCTTCTTTAAAAGAAAGAGGATAAGGAGAGTCTAAACTTGGATTAGTTTTACAATCTTCATTAATCATAAATTATTATTATTCATTTTGATTTTAATTTGAATTCATTTATGAAGATCTAAGAGCAGATAATTATTAATTAGAAATAGTTTCAAGTGTAATTTCATTTTCATTTTTTTCATCTATTTATGAAATTGTTCTTTCATTTGATTAAGTTGGATCTTAAGTGAAACCTAAATAATAAAAATTGAATTAACTTATTTATTGAGCATTTATTTTCCCTTATGTTTCTTCTTCTGGATTATTAGATAAATTGACCAATTAATGAGTTTATATTTAAGAT